AGCAAAGAAGGGTGCTGCCTAAGACCACAGGAAGACTAGCATGGGGATGGCTGCCAGGGCAGGCACGGTCAGGAGGTGCCCAGGGCTGGGTGGCAAGAATGGAGCAGGTCTCCTTTGAGGGCAAACTATCACAGGGAGCTTCTTCAGGCTCTGTGCTGGTTGGTCCAAACCCAAGCCACAGCAGGTAGCATGGACGGTGGTAAAAAAGCCATGTGGTTATGGAGGGGATGGGTTTTGGCTGGACATCCATGGAGATGCAGGCCATGGGGCTAAGCCAAAGGCACTGCCCATCCACTTGTCCCTAGCCTCGGGGCCCATCTCCTGGGCTCTGCACCTTCATTTCCATGCCTGCATCTGCCCCATCGTATGCCTGTCCAAACTTTCTCTAGCCCGAGACATGCCTTCCTGCTCCACACCCCTGCTTGGAGTAAAGGCAGAGACGTCTCTGAGCAGGATGCACCTGGACAGGTCTGGGAGTGCTGAAGCACTGCCTCACATTACTGGGAGGTAACAGAAGAAAAGATAATTACTTGTTTCAATGTTTATTGAAAACAAATAGAGCAATAATCTGAAAACATCCCATAGCATGGGCACACGCCCGCAGCCAGTGACTTAGGCACGATGAGCCCGTACAGGCCTAACAAATTAGCTCAGAACAACTTTCAGCTTCCACAAAGGAAAAAAATAAATAAGGCTAATAGACAGGGTGAGGGAAGGAGAGTTTTGCCATTAGGGCATCTCGCTGAGGTCGGCAGAGATGTGCCAAGCTGCTCTTCAGCAGCAGTGACTGGCCCTGACACCTGCCCTCCGCCTCCTCTGGGGGGGTCACGGGTAGCCAAGCTCCGGCCCCGTTGCCTGGTGCTAGCCCTAGGGTTCAAATACACTTATCTTCTGCTTAATAGTTCAGAAAGTCATGTCTTCCTTCTGGTCAGGTGCCAAGCATAGCTTATCTCTACCCCTCTGCCATATGACATGGTGCTCCTCAGGGGGCTGAGAAATGCATCATGTGCATGGTTTTAGGGTAAAAAGGATTTGGATTTTAGGATTTTCATGTTAGATAGCTCTTTCTGTGGACTTGCAGCTGCTTCGTTGCTGTTTCCAGTGTTTAAATATTGAAGGCAAATGGAGATTGACTTTGCAACCTGGTGCCCAGGAGCAGCCCTTCCCAGCAGAATACAAGCCAGCTCAAATCCTGGTTCCCATGTGCCTCAAAACCCCCATTCAGTGAGGTAAGGGTGCTCGGGGTATACAGGGATTTCCAGAGTGGAAACCATCCCACCTGGCCTTGGAGAGGCTGTGGTTTAGTCTATGGGGTCTGCGTTGGGGTCCTCTGCCTTTCCGGGGTCTCGGGGCTTTCATCGTGGAAGATGTTGAGGCCCTTCCAGGTCCTTTGTCCTGATCACCATCTTGGGTAGTTAAAAAGCAAAAGCCAGCTGTGATTGCTTGCGTGGGCAGTCAACAAGACCTCCAGGAGAGTTTCTGGTTTGGGGTTTCCCTCTGGTGGGAATGGTCTGCTTTTCTGGTTCCCAGCAATGAAGCCTTTTCCAAGCTGTTTTTAGGCTTGATTTTTCTTCTTTTTGACACCTGTGGATCTCCACTGGTCTCCAGGGACTTGCCTCTGGTGTCCTTTAGACAAGCTGAGTCCTTTGTTATCATCTGTTTCACTACACTGTCTCCCCAACATCATCTCTTAGCAGACAGGCAGTAGCAAAGGACAGACATTTGGGGTCTGTTTCTTCTTTGCAGTGATATCGGCCTCTTACCATGGT